ATGATGGAGCAGTCCAAGAACTTTTGGAAAACTCCCGACTCTAGTCATTCTAAGCTAGCAGAAACGGAAGCTGAGAAGCCAAAACTTCGACCCAAGGAGAATATTCCTGAGGCAAAACCACCAAGACCCATTTCTGGTGACATGTCCAAGACTCAGGCTTCGCTGGAGGCAGCCAAGAATAGCTTCTGGTCCACCTTCGCTACGACATCAAAGGAAACGGAGCCCAAAGCAGAGCAAGAAGATGCGGCTGAGGAAGTCGACTTCTGGGCCAGCATAGAAAAAAAGGAAACCTCTGATAAGGAGGAAAAACAGTGGACCAAAAAGAAGAAGACCGTAACCTATACCCCTTTGCAAAAAGAGGCTGTGACTAGGGTGGAGCACTGGACAACAACGTTTAGGGCTCAGTTAGAATCGTTACCAATGTCCCAAAGAGCCGAGGTGCATTTTGTAGTTGAGGAAAAGCAACAAGAGATTGAACAACCGCTAGAGGAGAACCAGGGTGAGGAGAAGGATTTCTGGGGCTTAGTAAATCAAGATAAGATGGAAAACCCAGTCAGTTCAACCTGGGAACGTGCAGAATACAATTCAGAACCTCCTCAGGGAGTGACAGAGCAAGCCACCCAACCAGATGAGGACAACGTCGACTTTTGGGCCCACATTGAAACATCTAATACTTACGCAGATGAAGAAAAGCCCAACGACATCACCTACGATCCCACCAAGTATCCTGAAGAGCCCCGCGAAGTGGATACTGATGAGGAGATTGACTTCTGGGCCGAGATAGAAGCCAAACGCAACCCAGGAGAAGATGAGGACGAGGATGTCACGTTCCATAAGTCAGCAATTTTCTGGGCTCGCAAAGAACGACAGAATTCTGTAGAGGAAACCCCATACAAGCCGGTGGAAATCAAAGCTTTCAGAGCAAAGTTACCCGATGAACCAGCAGTAGAAATTGATGTATGGGCCACCCTAGAAGCAGCCAGAGGACACGAGCCCGAAATTGTGGATCCCGCGGTGGAAGGGGAAAAGGTTCTCGCCGAGCAATTTGAGGATCTTGAACACGAGAGCTCAGATGAGGAGGAGGACGCGGAGGAAGAAAAGGAGCCAGAGGAGAAGCCTCGGGAAGAAGTCCAGGAAAGCAATCTCAGCCATATGGACACCATGTCCCTGGCCTCGATGCACGAGCCAGCTACAGTCTATACATGGGCCTCCCCTCCACAGGAAGCTGACGATAATGAGGAGGAAACCGATTTCTGGGCGGACATGGAGAAGGAACGATCTAAGAAAGAACAATTCGAGGAGGCCGAACAGAAACGACACAACTACAGGCAGGCCATGGCCTTTTTCAACACCTCAATCGATGGCCAGCAGTCGCCGCCACAACAAAATGCCAGTCCCAATCGCAGCAGTGTTATTCTGGAAGTGGAAGAGCCACAAGAGGTGAACCTGGGACCGCCTGGTGAGTACCAGTTAGTAGGCGAGGATGGCGTCGTCGTAGAGGAGCATAAGCCAGCGATAACCGAAACCGAGGAAGAGGAGCGAGGTGATGCAACTCCAACCAATATGGAGCCACAACTACCAGAGGTCTATGTCGAGCCCGAGCCGGAAGTGAAGCGCCTTGTCAACGGACTTCCTGATCTTGCCGTGGAGAAGTTTAGCGAAACACCCAAGATATCGGTGCGTGACAGGATCAGTGCCTTCGAGGTGATTCCCTCGCCAGTTAGCGATGGCGCCAAGGGATTAACCAAGCAATCCCTATCAGTGGACAGTGCCTATGGTAAGGGCACCCTCTCGCGAAACAGCAGCACTCAGCGGTCCGAGTCGGAGATTGAGGAGGACGACTCCGGGGTTACGGACATGAATCGTCAGCTGTCTGAGACGGACACAGAGTCCGAGAGTTTTCCTGAGCTGCGCAAGATGACCAGCTACCAGCGGGCAGCCACACATTCCAGGCTCTTTAAGCTGTTGCAGGACGAAAATGATGTACCGGAGGCGGGAGTGCAACCCGCCGATGAATTTCAGTTTAAGCCCAGTCGCAGGAAGATTGTCCACAATGTGTCCATTACCAGGCGCCAGAATCCAGGAGCTCTGAATGAAGCGGAGACCATGACGCAGCGCAGGGAACGGCTTTCGCTGCCGCTTCGCAAGAATACCAGCATCGATGCGGACAATCCCTCGACTCCAAATAGTCCTGCCTCGCCCATTATGGGGCCGTCGGCCAAGAACCAGCGCGTGGTCAGCGATAAGTTGGTAAATGAATTGGTCCAGAGCCTGCTCCTCAAAAGCGACAGTTCGCATTTGAGAAATCTGCCCATGGAACGCCTTCAGGCGGCCGCCAAACAAGCTCTCGTGGAGGAGATGGACTCGGCGCAGGAGATCAGTTCGCTGGACAGCACGCCAGCTCCCACGCCCAAGCATGACAAGGAGTATTCTGACTACTACAACAGCTGGTGCGAGGCCAGTGGCAGCGGCGACGAGGTGTTGCCCTCCAAGAGCTTCCGTGCTCTGCAAGATCCACGACGCAGTCCTTGGACGGTGCGGTGTCCGCGAGTTCTCAGCTCCAAGACGATAAACCGGGACTTGGCCCGGGTTACGGAGTCACCGGAAATAGCCAATGGACGGGGCAGCAAAAGTCCCGAATGCTTCCGTCAGAACTCCCACTCTCAGTCTCGGGAACGATCCGTCAGCAGTTGGCGGAGAGTTTAGGATACGGCATCGAATTGCCTTTTGTATATAACAGGGCGGGTCTATAGTCTTTAGCAGGGATGTGAGACCGGCTCAAATGGGAAATAGAATCTTCGGAAGAGAGTCTAAGAATCGAACGAAATATAAAGCGAATTTAAATCGAAGCAGGAGATTACCTATCAGTTACCTATTTCCTATTTGTGGTTACATATTCCAGTATCTAGGAAGTTGGGCTAGAAGCTAATCTCCAGAGCCGGATTTCACTCCCAACTTCTCGTACACTAGGAAACTTCTGCATTTGGCCGAAAGAGTCACTGCCTCTGGGAATGTGTGATAAAAAAGAGCCAGCTTTGCATTTCTCATCTCACCATCACGAACTACCCATCCACATTGTACATTATGAATATCGAATACACTCAACACATTAATAAACTAAATCTAATTAAACATGTAAATAAACCAATTGAAACCAATGAAAGGAAATCGTTCATTCGTTCGTTCGTTTGTTACCTCAGTAAAGCGCAATACCAAAAACCAACCAAAATCATTTTCTAAACTTACATGAGTATTTTAAAATTTGTAAGCCGTAACTCATGAAATCGAACCAAAAAATAACAAGCATATAAAACTGAAAAAAAAAACTGAAAATCTATCAAGCGCCACAATAAACAACAATATAAAAACCAATTTCATCTCAACTCAATGATTTTGTAAAACTCGTTCAAAATCCTAAGGTACCTAAAATTGCAATTATTAAAAAATTACCCAAAACCAAGTTTTAACTAATTGAATGTTTTCATAATATTCCAAAAATTGTCCTCTTTCTATACTATGTATTTACTTTTATTTTCGCCGCTGTTTGAATTTAATTCTGTGTGCCTTATTCTTTTTAATTTGTCTATAAAAATATTTGCGATCCTTGCAACTGAAGTCGAACAAATTAACTCAGGTTTGTATGCGCAAATTATTATGAAATAATTTAAAGTAAATATTATGAGTAAATACATTACCCATTTCCCATGTATTATTCCATGTATTGTTAAATGAACGCCAAATATTTTTGCAAATCCTTTTTACATCGCAAATATTTTTATTACACTATTGTAGTTCCTTCCCCAAATGCTTCCTAAAAACTTGAGCTTGGAGAGCAAACTCCACCTTGCAAAGAACAACGAATGAAGATTACCTTATTTGTTGTTGAGACCATAAATAAATACTATCGAAATAATGGAGTGGAAAAATATAAAGTGAAAAATTGTACAATATGACTTGTCGAAAACTCGTTCGTTACATTAACCATTCATGAGTTTACAACTGCATAATTAAATGTTTCTTTCTCTTATACTCGATTAACTTGTTTTATACACACAATAAGAAAAAAATATTTTTAACAAACATTAATCGTTAACTTTAATAATGACAATGAATGGCTTTTACCCCAAAACTTAAATTGAATTGAACTGAATTGAATGAATAATACATACAAAAGTTTTAAAAAAAAGGTGAAGTTTTCTCTCAAAATTGTTTTGGCTGCCTGGCACTTGCACTTTCTCAGTTGCTGCTTCAATATTTTTTATTTTATATATTTTCTATTTACTTTTACGTTTTCTTTATATGTAAGTCTGAACCTGAATAAGTGTTCATGGCCAAGTCAAGACTGGAAAGTTTCCACAATTTAGTGTTAGCTTTATTTGTTTGTCTCTACCAGTTGAAATCATTTTGAAGTAACACTCTTCTTGGTTTAATCTTTTTCAGGACCTGGTCAATCGGATCTATAATTATTTCTCAACGCCATAGAAATCAATTATAGCAACTCAACAGCATCATACAGAAATCGAAACGAAACTGAAACTGAAAATTATTCAGATTGCTTGTTATAGTTATCTAGTTTAAGTACCAGACACTCTAAGGATCGCCACTATCAAATAACTTGGGAACGGGAACAAGTTTTTAGTAAAATTTTTTTACACTAACAAACATCATTGTAACTGAAGAGGAAACTTTTTCTGTTGAACGCGACTTGGTAGCAGCACTAAAACCAAACAAAACACTTCTAACCCAACTACGAAGCAAATAGCGAAAGCGAATACATACTAATCCTAAAAGTTAAGATGAACAATGCAGGTGCAATGAGGTAACAACGAAACGAAACAAAATCCAAGAAATCGACTATGCTTGATATGTATCCGGATAACACGAAAGCGCACATCAAACACGACTAATAATATATTAAATATTTTTGTTTCTTGCGAACATTATTATTTCATTTATGAATATTCTCTTTTGTTTGTCATCAATATTTATTCTTTTACACGGTTCGTATGCATACGAACTCTCTTCACATTTATTTGAATATTATACTTTGATACATAAATAAAATATATTTTGTGTTGTACAATTTTATATGCAGTAAAATTTTTTAGTAAATAAAGAAGTAAAATCATGAAACTTGTATTTGTCCTGTATAGAATACGACGGAAATCAAACCGACGGTTTGGCTCTTAAATACTTTGTTTATAAAATAAATGAATCTTTTAGAGGTGCGGAGAAGCCAAGTGTAGCAAAACCTTTTCATACTGTTACGTTTTAGTTTAAATTCGTTACACGAGTATGCATATGTACTTCATAACATACAATATTTTCATAATTCATAGTTTGGACTTGCTGATCGATGTAACGCCAACTTTAAATTCTCAGCTACTAGCGTTACAATCAACTAACTTTTAAATCTAGATAATATACCGATATTGCATAGTCACATAATTCTAATAGTTTGAAAAGCTATATCAACATTAAATGCATATAAGTTAATAGTATACGTATTTAATATGTAAATACCTTCAACAGTACGTTCCTATTGATCGATATAATTTCATTTGTACAACTTTTCCCATACGAGATCAGCAACATAAAATGTTCAAAAACCGAATACACGGTATTTGGAAAAAAAAAACAACAACAAAACTCGTAGATACATTTTGTAAAGTTATTGCGTACAATATTGCTTGGCTAGGTAACTTTTCAATATACCATTTGACATACCATTTAAGAGGTTAGACTGTCGACTTGCACTTCCATCAGCTCTTGTACAATGCGGTACTCATGGCAGTCAGGGCACAGAAGGCGACCGTTCGAGCGGTTGGAGCGCTGAACCCTCTCATGACAGACAATGTGCACTAGTTTAAGGTTCTTTAGCGAGAATATTTCTAGAAAGTACTCCAGTACTGAGATATCCACCACTTGCTTATTATGAAGTGAACACTTTATCTGCGGATGACTAACAAGTTCTTCCACATTTGCCACAAGAGCGGGAAGTATTGTGCGGCACAGTTCAATCTGGTGGTCCAGGTTCCAGACCTGGAACAAAATGAGATTCTCTCGCGAAGCGTACGGATTGATAGTGTGCTGCTTTGAGCAGCTGTTGCCATTCTCCGAGTAGGAGCCCTGACAGTAGAAGTCACCCAGATCGGAGCACAAGGAAGTGGACCACTCGTCGAGGATGCAGTTTTCCTTTGTGTACTCCTTAATTACCTGCCTCAGTCTCTTGCTGGGTATTCTGCCAGCGTCTGTTTCCTCCTCGCCCAAGTGCTGCTGCAGAAATTCATGCTTTTGCTTGCAACTCCTGTCAAAGATCATGGAGAAAAAGTCGCAACCGATGAGCAGGTATCGAAACTTTTCCAGCACAGCATTTATCACTTGTCGGGCCTTAACATTTTGGCGGTACAAGGGATTACGCGTCAGTTGCTCCTTGGCCTTATAGTAGTAACCGCGCACACGTGTCTGGGCACGCATGGCCATGGCTTCTTCCTTCGAATGGAACCTCTCCTCCCCGCCCGCGAACCATTCCACGTGCTCGTCCTTCAAGCTGAGGTGGGCCTTGCTGTTATCCAGGACGCAACGTTGCTTTTGGTCTTCGTACTCCGTGATCATGCGGCGGAACTTTTCCGGATGCTGTTCGATAAAGTCGTAGAAAATGTCAGCCACCTTCAGCAAAGGCGATTGCTGTCGCATCTTTTCAAACTCGAAATCGGCATCTAAAGGCCGATAAAGCCAGATTAATCGGGGATGAGTTATATATTTAAGGTGTAGCTCACCTGTTGTAATGACAGCATCCGGTCCTGAAACTATGAACAGCGTCTGAGCTGGTAGACTTCCTAAGTACTCATCGTCGGAAACTTCGAAGCCATCAGAAGCCAAATACAAATGTAAGTCGTGAAGCTAAAAGGTAGGAAAGGATTTAATTTTAATGCCCTTGACATGGCCAAAATATAACAAGGCCAGGTCGATGGAGTGTCTCGCCCAATTCCTGGTTCAGGGGCCTTCAGCTTCAACAGGTGGTTAGCTCTACTAGATAGGACATGCGCATTGGTAGGTACTGGTGGCATTGAAAGAGAGCCAAACAAACACGGAAACCATTGCCAGGGACATGGCCTTGAAAATAGCCAGGGCCAGGAACTTTCTGCCCCTACGTATGTATGTGTATATTTCGCGCTTCTACGCAGGAGTTTTTTCTGGTTTTTCCTTACCGGGAACTTTCTGTTTGCCTTGGATAACAGCATTTCCAGGGAATTGGCTCCTATCCCGTATTTTCTCGTTCGCTCGTTATCAGTAACCTTGTAGCCACGCATTTGAGCACCCACTGTTCCCATGGAGTCGGGTGAGCTCGCATTCTGGAGAGCTTCGCCTGCTGGCTGGCTGCTTTTCTTGTTATTGGAGCTGCTGCGTGTTGTCGGTGCCATGATTGCATCTCTAATGTAGTTGAGCATCGTTCTTGCTCATAGTAAAGTCAACTTTGGAATGTAGTCCTTGTGGCAAGTTTCCTTTTCGGCGGACAAAGCAAAATAAATCAGCAGAACCAGGCACTTTTCGCGCTTCCCAGCACTAGATTCTCGTTGAAATATTTTGTTATCTGTGCTGCTATTCTAGCTATAAATAGCTAACTTGTAAAATATAGAATTGTATAGTGTTAAGAATAATTGACTGCAGCTCCAGAAATTTAGGAAATATTTTATGAATTGTTTAATTGTATTTAATTAATTTGATAACATATTCATTTATCGTTAAATTTTGAATAAAAACGGAAATAGCCAAATTAGTGAAATAAAAGCTAAACAGTGTATTCGACACCACTATTGCGTGCCTTCAACGTTTAGCAGCACTTGTGCATCAACAAACAGCTGTTTGTTCGGGCAATAATTTTTTTTGTTAAAAGTTTCTGTCGAAAAACTACAACAATCATAGTCATAGTGTACCATGAACTGGAGTGCGGGCCTCGCGTAATCCGCACCTCGTCCGGAACCGCGTATTACGATGAACCTACGGCCGCGATGCCGCAAGTGGCTGCCACTGGCCACTCAGCAACTTCGACTGCGGAACCTCACCCGGATTCAGGGATTCAATATTGAGTCCGGGCCGCAAGAAAAGTCGCTCCTGGTGGTCGAGCCGGATGATGTGTTCCTCTACTACACACTGCATACGGAGAAGGCAAGTGAGGCGTTCTACACCAGCGAAAAGCTGCCGCAGCGTCACCAACAGCAAAAGTGGGCGGAGATTTGTGCGGACGACGAGGCCTGGCGGAAAACCAATGCGCAGTGTGTGTGTGTCAAGGTGTGGAAGCACTATCCGGCGGAAAGGAGGGATAGCCAGCCGCCTGAGGTTGAGCTAAGGAATAAGGATGTGTGCGGGTAAGAAGTCTGCTTGCAAATAGAACTCAGCTATCACCACCCAACTTACTTCCAGAAGATCCCAGTTGACGCCCAGCAGGCTGACACGTCCTCCCGAATTACTGTTTTGCTGGGGCGTCTACTTCTCCGGCCTTATACCCTTGTCACCCCTCACCTTGTCCCAGTGCGGACGAAATTGCTTAGTCTTTCAATTGAATGGCGAGCAGTTTGCCTCCCCGTCGATGATAAGCGAGCAGGGTTTGCAGTCGCAGCTGCATTTGCACTACCAAAAGTATGCGGAAGAAGAGGAACTAGAAGAGCCGCAAGATGAGGGCATAAACTCGCCGGCTGTCAGCCGGAGTTCAAGTCCCGTGCTGCGAATGAGTACGATGCGCTATGCACAGCTGAAGTGCCAACGGCAGGAGATTCGACGCAGCAACAATTTGGAAAAGCTTCTGACGCTGCAACGTCTGCAACGTTTGCATCAGCAGAAGAGGCGTCAAATGGCCGAGGTTTGCCGGGAAATTGCGCGCCTCAGTGTGCACTGTGTGACGAGGAACGAGCTGCGCTTGAAGCCCCGCACCACATCGTTGTCCGGCGACCACTCCGCCCATCAATACCATTCCATGGGTCGCGCCCTGAGCGTATTGCTCGCCGAGCAGCAGCAGATCGCGCCCCTTACGCTTTATAATGCCCAGCAGTTAACTAGAAGGATCGAAGCGCTAAGCAGTCAACAACGACTACTGAAAGCGGAGCGCGAAACGTTTCGGCAACGAAACGAGCGAGCCCGTCAACGGCTGGAGGAAATGAGGGAACAGCGGGAGGCACTGCAAAAGCAGCTCCACAGCCAGCGACATCGACTGGAAAAGGAACGCCTAGAGCTACGAACCCTGGCACCTCAACATCTGGAGCAGCGCGATCAAAGAAGACATATAGAACGGCAGGTGGGGGATTCGTAGTCTTATAACAATTCACAAGTATTAATTAAGTTTTTCACCTTAATTAGGTGGAGCGCCGAATGTCCACACTGGTGTTGGAGCTACAGGAGATCTATAACATCCAGAATGTGGGCAGTCGGCAATTTAGCATCTGCGGCATCGCCTTTCCTCACATGGAGCAATACACGAGCGAGTCCCGTCAGGCGGCCAATGCGCAGCTGCTGGATAACGTCTCGCCTCTGGCAGTGAGTGCGGCACTGGGCTATGTTGCCCATTTGGTGCAGATGCTAGCCATCATTATGGACCGGCCCCTGAGGAACCGTATTCTGTACGAGCCATCGAAAGCACGAATTGTAGACGATATTAAGGAGTTAACGTACACCACAAGAGAGTAAGCACTTCGACTAAATATTGCTTTTTGGTATCTTATTTGTTCCCTTTCAGATTTCCTCTGTACACGCGCTCCATTTTGCCATCGCAGCAAACAAAGTATGCCATCTACCTTTTGCGCCAGAATGTTTCTCAGCTGTGCTTCGACATCACGGGTCAGTGCGATCTGCGAAACACTTTTGGCAATCTGCTGGAGCTATTCAGCACTCTTCGCTACATCGAACGAACGCAAAGGGATGAGGTCGACGAACGGGATGGTACAGCAGTTGGAGCTAGCGGTGGAGAAGCACGCTTGGCAAATGGATTGACAGCTCCGCACCTGTCGCAATCGCACTCTTCGGTCGACATGAATCATGTGCCACTGCCGACGGTCAAAGATGCACTGCTCCAGCAGCTGTTGCCACCGGGCGTGAGTCAGGCGCTGGCTATCGAAGGCTATGCGTCAACTCAACGGTAATATATTATATGTCTATATTCAGAGCCAAGCAGAGAAACTTTACCGGACTCATATGACAAAATTTAATAATAATATGATGTCATTTTCTTCCAGCATTTGCCGTTCGGTGGGCTCCTATTCAGATGGTGAGGATGAGTTTCGACCGCGGCTGGAACATAACTATTCCAATTCGGACTCCAACATAACCCTGCAAACTGAGCGCAGCTGAGCTACTGCACCCAAAAGTGTTATATTTCAAGCGCTTATATCCAATAGCTAGCATTGTTTAGCGGCTCCACCTAAGCAGGTATTTTGGATTGGTCGCGTATTGTATACTTTTAATTATGAAACTCAATGGTAGTCGGCAGTCCATTGCGATAATATTATTTTTAGTTGTTTAAGATCTCTGTGTAAATTTCCTTTTATTGTTTGTTTGCTACTATAAGCTACGAATAAACATTAAATATTTTATAAACGCCAAATACATATTTAATGGGCATGCCAAATGTTACAAATACTTCGATAAAGATAAAGCCGAACAATGTTCAACAGCACAAAAAAACAAAGTGCTTACCTTGCGGAAAACCTAAGCTTCCTCCCTTTCTTTTCGTATGTACTGGTATTAAGCTGCTTCTAAAACTAAGTTTATTTATTTTTTGTGTTTGAATGAGGCGCCAATAAGTGTTGCAAACTGTGAAATCAGTTAATTTATATCATGAAGCTTAGAATTTGGGCATATGTTACTACATACTGATGCATATGCGTATATAAACATTTTCTGTTTAATATGAATGATGTAAGTTTTGCTTTAAAAATTTATTTATAAATTCAAAATTTTACAACCAAACCTTGGGTAGTGCTGCACAACGTTCCGTTCCCTTAACAGTGGTCTGTAAAGCCAGCTGATTACCATTTGGCAAACTTATTTCGCTGGCAACTTGTTTCCGGGATTTAAATGTTTTTCGGGCTACATCCGGACTATTTATAAATAAAAAATGTGCTGTCAAAGACCCAAAGCCGGACCAAACGAAGTGCGATAATCAAATAAAGAATTGAAATCGCGAAAAGCCCGCAAATCAACGTGTTAAATGTGGTGCCTTTGCATATGTGTGTGTGGCCCGGGCCTTGGCCTTTTATTTATCGAATTCATATCAATTAAATTGAAACGCTGAGCTATAGTAGGCAATTGGCATTTACGGTTACGATTTGGTAGCCGGCAACTGTAGCCACTGATAAGCGGACGACCGGGAATGCCCATGATTTACGCTTATATAGTGTTTACCCTACATGTTTACCGCTCAAACAAAAAATAAAAAAATAAAACGCAGATGTGATAAGGAGCAGCAGTCGTTCACACCTGGAAATTGCTCAATGGAAACGTGGCAATAAGACTAACTGAGTACCCAGCATTTAATTTTTCTGAGACAATAGCAGCTGATAGTGGGAGTAAAACTGCATTTCTGGTGCTAATTAGTTCAGTTCAGGCGCCAAAACTCTTCCTAACAGCTCTCTTAATCAAAATTTACCACTTTAAGCTGACTGCTTGCTCTCTCTTAAACTCTCTTTGTTTGAAAATGGCTGAGAGCAATGTACCGCTACGAGACTTCGACGAAGAGAGCGAAACGGATTCGGAGACCGAATTGCTCATACGCCGCGATGTACCGAGCGGTAAACAGAACAACAACAACATTAGGGGGCGACGCAAAACCTCCATGGGCTACAGCGGCGTCGACGCCGTCGCTGGCAGCTCTGCCGCCGGCGGCGGAGGCAGCTTTCTGGGCAATCTCTTCGGATCCAACAGTTTTGGCTCTGCCGCCGGCCAGATACGTTATAGAAATGAGCGGAGTCGCGAGCGCGCCAAACACTCAAACGGTAGCTACAGCAGCATTTCGAAACTGGCGCAATTAACGCACACGTCATCGGGCGTCGCGGGGGCGGGATCGATCGGTGGCGGTGGGGGTGGCAGTGGTAATGGTAGTGGCACCGGCATCGGCATCGGAGTAACCACTGCCGATGGCAGTGCAGCATCATCTGGAGGAGCTGCAGCCACGGGGGATCTCAGCAATGGCGGTACGCACAGCAACACCGTTATCGATCCGGAAAATGGCTCATCCACGGTCTTCTACCAGCACAATCGGCGGAAAAGCAAGAGTCGCAGCCTGGGCAACGTCTGCAAGCTGTGCCTCTGCAGGTGAGTCTGCTTTCGGTGCGATCCAGTCGTTACCCTCCGCCAACGCTGCGTATGCGCAATATTTCCATTTCACTGCTGCAATAGTTGGCGGCGGGAGTAAAGCGAGAGTATAGGGTACATAGCTCTGCAACAGCTGTTCACTGGCCAGCAAAACACCGGGAACTGAAGTGTTGCCTCTACAAAAAATGGTTAGGTCGTTCATATTTTTATTAAATTAAATGTTTTATAACTAGAGCAGAAGACAGTATTGTTTAATCTATTATATAAAGACCTTGAAATTTCAAATATTTTTACTACTTTTAAAAATCATTATCGCTTAATATGATTTTTTTATTGCGTCTGTTTAAATGTAGTGTGCACGTTTAAATATGTGTTTCCGCAGTCCCATAATGTCAACTCAATAAATTTATTATAATGCTTGGCTTAGAACTCAGAATACCTAATCTCATAAAATGCCGACAACAATAGGTATAAAGCAGTTTTTCTCAAACTTCTATAAATAATTTCAATGTATCTATATATTATATTTAATATTTGGCAAGAAGCAGCGTTGTCCCTTCTATCTTTCTCGGCATCCCATCACTTTCGTAATTCAACAGTTTTACGGCGAACAAGTTGTTGTTTTGAAATATTTGTTTATTATTTTTTGGCATGAGCCAAATCTTTGTGAGGTTTCTTAAAATGAGCAGCAGAGTGGGCAAATTACGTTGTCTTGCAATTTGATGTTCTTTTTAACTTAGAACTTTTACGAAACACATTTCCAAGAAAATAAATTCTAGCTGAAAGTGTGAAGATGTGTGCGCCACATACATATGTGTGACATACACACAATGAATGCAACTGTATATATGTATGTGTAGCATACATACGTATATAGCAGATATAACATATATAGCGATTCCGAGATATATTTTTAATTTACCTAATTAGAGAGGAAGCACGAGAGAACTTTTGAGAAAGGCCGCACATGCGAACAAGCAGCCACGTCTGTAAGTGGATCGTAGAAAGAAAATTAAAAACATTTCGCTTTCTGCGCGTCGACGGACTGTGCAAATCGATAAACGTGACGACTCCCAAGTCTGGGGGAAAGATTTCAACGAATGGAAAATAATAACAAAAACACGGCTATAAATAGTGGCCAAGACGAGCGACTTGGTTGGGTGACAAGGCATAAACGAATCGCAAACATTGCTATCCGTGCCGCCCTCCACATTTGCTCCACACCCACTGAGTGTTTTTCTTATTATTTTTTGTTTTGGAGTACAAACTCTTGTTGCCGCAAAACTTTGGCCAAAAATATCACATACAACTTCACCCGTTAGCTGTGCATTTTTAATCGACGTTTGCCGTGTGACTTGGAACTCGATTGGTAGGCGACCAAAAAAGCGACTCAAGAAATCACCAAAAAATGCTAAAAATTTGAAAACCAGTTCCTCAGCTGGTTTTGGCCACACAACGTTGTATTCAAGGTTTCTAAAAAATACAAACGAGTTGTACAGAAGAAGGGAGTCGCTTTAAAGTTTTTATTTTTATACCCGTTACTCGTAGAATAAAAGGGTATACTATATTTGTTGAAATGTGTGTAACAGGCAGAAGGAAGCGTTTCCGATCATATAAAGTATGTATATTCTTGATTAGGATCAATAGCTGAGTCGAACTGGCCATGTCCGTATGAACGCATCTATCTCAGGAACTACAAAAGCTAGAATGTTAAGATTAAGTGAAGTGCTAAACTCCATAACTCAACTTATCTTTATCGGATTTTTAAGTGGCATACCTCAAAATGTTTCTGGAGCAATTCTCTAAAGATCTGCATTCAAATTTAGAAATGTATTTTTTTTTAATTTTTTTGTAAAATTTTTGATGTAAGATGTTGCAGAAATTCAAAATAATTAAGAAATGTTCCTAGGCTGAAGTTCTAAACTCAATAACTCAACTTATCTTAATCGGATTTTTAAGTGGCATACCTCTAAATGTTTCTGACGCAATTCTCTAAAAATCTGCATTCAAATTTAGAAAATTATTTTTGTTAAATTTTTTTGTAATTTTTTTTTGATATGATAATGTTGAAGAAATTCAAAACAATTGAGAAATGTCCCAAGGCCGAAGTTCTAAACTTCATAACTCAACTTATCTTAATCGGATTTTTAAGTGGCATACCTCTAAATGTTTCTGGCGCAATTCTCTAAAAATCTGCATTCAAATTTACAATATTTTTTTAATTTAATTTTTTTTGTAATTATTATACCCCTTACTCGAATATTGAGATTATTAACTTTTTCCCAATTTCTACCGATATTCCGGAAAATGTTGAAATTTCTCATTTGCACTTCCACTTGTGTAACGGGTATCTGATAGTCGGGGAACTCGACTATAGCATTCTATCCTGTTTCTCTGCTTTTGCTGTTAAAAATTGAAAGTTTCTCTGCCGCTACCTTTTCGCGGCTTATCAGAATCGCTCGATTTCAAATGATTGCCCGATCCGCATTTAAATGTTTTCTATGGCAATACATGATATGTATGTACATACATACGTACTCTCTAGCTTTGACAAAGCGTACAAAGCGAAAATCTTATTGTCACTTTTATGTCGGAACAGTAAACATAGACAGATACTGAGATAGAAATCGTCGAACGTGTAAAAAGGCAATAGCAAGTCAAAATGTCTGGACGCGAAGGCGGTAAGAAGAAGCCCCTAAAGGCACCGAAGAAGGACTCGAAGAATCTAGACGAGGAGGACATGGCCTTCAAGCAGAAGCAGAAGGAGCAGAAGAAGGCTCTGGAGGCAGCCAAGGCAGGTGCCTCCAAGAAGGGACCTCTTGTTGGCGGCGGGATCAAAAAGTCGGGCAAAAAGTGATCCCTAGCCGCGGCTTCATCTGTTTTCCTTAACTGAATTAAACTATCCCTAATTTAAGACTTAAAGAAATCAATATCGTGAAATGGTCTTGGTAAATTACTTTCACATTAGCGTACAGCAATGCTTTCAATGTATTTACTGAAATAACTTAACACTTTTGGTGTATATTTGTCTTCATCTTTACATTCAATGCTTCAATGTCATTTGTTGCTTTTTGAGTGCGTCTTTAGCTCTTTATCGCCCTCTGACCACGAAAATATCTTGAGGCCTTCACCGATTCAACTTCTCTTCAAGGTTTTCTTACACAAAGCCTAGCTTTTTCGGGGTGCTCGAAACTTTTCTTGGGTTTTTCGTTACATCGTTACAACGCTCAACTCCAATTGCCGTTTCGGTTATATGAGGCTCAAAGATTTCGACAGGCCGATTAGAATTGCAAAGCGAGGCGCCAGGCGGCACAGTTTGTTGGCGTGATTGCTGTTGCCACGGTGGCCACTGTGGTGGAACCAGCTCGCCGCTTATATTTCCTCTATTTACCAAAATAATCCATTGCTCTATCAAGTAAAAGAGCTACTGATAACGTTACGTTAATAATTTTAAAAATATTAAGTTAAAAACAAAATTATGGATGTACTTAAATATATAAAATATTAGAAACTTGTTCAAGAGTTCAGAGAGATTTTCAAACCTGTTCAATAATTTGATGAAGACTCGAATCAATCACACTTAAGCTAATTGTAATTGCTACAACCAATACCATTACCAACTGACCAAAAACTTTTCCCAAGCTTTTTTCACTTAGCTGCATGCAAATTAGTGCGCCACGCCCCCAATCCCCCTGACCGCCCCGTGGACGCCACAAACTGTCAATGGTAACGCCTAATGTTATTATTTTCTAGTCGCCGTTAGCTGTTTATCTAGTTGCGAATGCAAATGGCTGGGAACAGAAAAAGCCATGGCAAAAGGGGCTTGAGCGGTGAAATGCCACAACGATTGACGCCCGCAACTTGGCCTGCCATTGTTTTCCACCCACCGGCAATGTGGGTTAATAACCAAAAGGCAGAAGGCAGAAGGCAGCGCAAGTCACACTATTCATGGCTCACCTCATTCCAATCCGGTTACCCGTGAAAGGGTATATTGTACACGTGTAAACGTGCCACTCCCTCCCGAATAACCATATTTGCCTTTTTCCGCAATCGCCATGTGTGCATATGGTACAAATAGGTACATATATTGTCTGCTGTTCAAAAATAATAATAATTTATCGCTGTTCCAAATTTATCGCTGGACAAATTCATTTAAGGTTCCCTAAAATTTTCGACATTTAAGCTCAAGAAAATGAATGTTTAAGGTTCCCTAAAATTTTCGACATTTAAGCTCAAGAAAATGAATGTTTCTTTCCAATTTATCCATAGAATAGAAAACATCGATTTAAAAAGATATTACTTTTAAAAATTGCATTTTATTTATTTATTTTATTTAATTTAAACCGCTACGACTGTAGAGTATTATATTTAGAGTTCTCGAATACAAATACTACAAGTATCAAGTAGCTGTAAGCAACTGTAACATTATTTGAACACATTTCTCAGTCCTCAATGACTCAGTTATCTGTGAAGAAACTTGTAAATCATTTTCTTTGTGACACACACGATAAATGAAAATGGTTGAAGAAGTTTGAAGCAATGGGCAATGAGTAACCGATAGTTAATGAATAAATTACACAAAATGTACTCGTGTGCTGTACTATAGCCCACTGGAAAAAACTATATCAGGGAAAAATGGTATTCCCTTTTACGGTTTTGCTGATTTTGATATGTGGTGAAACGGGTTCCGGTTTAAAATGTTTTAAGATTTTGATATTTGTTAAATTTTTACGTTTCAGCTTTTTAATAAGACGTTGGAAGGTTGATAAAGATTATATGTGAAGTTTTGTTTCTTTGTTATATGTATTAATTGCCAGCTCTTACCTAGCAAAGTAATATTCCGCAAATGCTTTGTTTTTGTTTTGATTTGGGTCAATGATAGCGCACTGCTATCAAGCCAAATGCAGCTGAACTGATAAAGCATTTATCTAATGATGTATAAGGGCAGAAATAATGTCACGAGTAACTAATCTGGAAAAAGGAGATTCATAGCTCTAATTTTGTTGTCATAATAGCTCTAAGTCATAATAAAACGTAAATAAACGTTTTAAATTAACGTTCCGAAAAAAAAATAAATTTTTAATTGCTTATATAGCAAAACTAGAACGGCTTAAACTTTTATCGAAATCTTGGAATCTCTTTATTTACTAAGCAGGAAATGTACACACTTGCACAAATCTGAATGAATGAATTGCAGCTGTTAAAATTTGTATGTACATACTTAATAGAAAAGGCGAAAAACAAAATTTTCTCGAGCAGTACCATGGAATCCAATCTGCTGAGGTCTACAAATCGTTTTGATATTTCCAGTTAATTTCTCAGAACGAGTCGAATTGCGGCAATTGTTTGTTACGGCCGCTGCAATTGTTAACGATTGCATTTCTATTCACTGAGAATTCAGGATGAGAGACGTCAGCTGAATCGCAATTCGACCGATAAGCGAGCCTCTAAAAGGGAAAAATACATAAAAACGCATCTAGGCGTATTTAACTAGCGTGACACATTTCGGGATTATGGCGAAACCCGAAGGCTTCGACGGTAAAAGCGCTGACTTTGAAGTGCAGCATGAGTCACACAGGTGAGCTAATTCTGCTGGCTCTTTTGTTTTGTCTTTGGCTGCAGACTGGTCGTTGAACTTTTCCTTGAGCATTTTTGGCAACTTTTTCTTATGAGATCATGACATGAAATCGTCTGGCCAACGACTGTGTGTGTTATATTGACAAAACTTTGAAGCGCGCTCCTATTCGCACACGTCTAGCGCGAGCAGCGAAATAGAATGGTCGTAAAGAAAAAAAACTGTAGAAAAACCAGTTCGCTCGTGGGCAAACAAATAAGAGGAGCAGCACATCGCTAGTGCTGATCTAAGCAGCTGAAGCGTAGACAACTGGCAAGAGCTTATTTAATTAACATCCGAGTGCTAACGAAAGCAGCGAGAAGACCTGTTGAGTGAGCAATAAACATGCCATAAAGATCTCCCCTTCAGACGGCTCTTTTGAATTTGGCGCACAAGGTACGCGCGTTGCCAGATTCAGGTAGCAAACTGTAATGGCAGCTCTGCCGAATGACAACCATATAGTTGTCCCGTTCCCCCTTATTGATTTCTATAGAATCACAGAAACAGGGTTGTTAAACGCGCAGACGACGCAGTTTTCATACGGAATTTTCACTTTTGCATTTGTTTTGTGCATAAGAATTTAGCATAACGCAGTTTTATTATTCGGAGTGCTTTGTGAAGGCGTGTGCCATGAGCCGCGCCTGTGATAATGTGAAAAGGGCCAAAGGAAATCATCGAATTCAAGTGGCAGCTGCGACTGCTGAGAACAAAAGCTGCACAAGACTACATAAATAATTTCGGAAAAATCAAATAAGTGCGATTCTCGGCCAGCAAACATGGATGATGCTACCTCCCAAAATTCGGCAGCAACGCCAATGGCGCGAGAGAACATTCCGTTGCTGAATCGCCAGCGAAATCGCTGGTATCTTTTTAGGTGTGAATCATACTATTCCTACTAATCATACTAAGTGTGTCACAGTTCGCGGGGTACTTTATCCCGTTTTCTTATCAGCTTATGTACTTGCTGTGTACTTATACTAAACATATTCATAATATGTACATTAACTTAACTACAGTTAATCTCGTTCTAACACCAAGCCAGGCTTTCCTCCTCCCACTCGCACACTCTCTCTCTCACACCCACACTCACATCTGCACACAAATGCATATACACCATAAACCGTTATTGTTGGTGTCTGAATTTTCACTTTTGTTTATTTTTCGAGTTTTTATTATCGATTTTCCACTCAAGGTCGTCTCCTGTATGAACATTGCGTGTGTCTGTGCTCACAGACTGTGATTGAAATTTTAATTCGTTGGCAAAGCACTTGCTACCAAGTAGGGAACTCCCATCAGAATATGAATATTATAGATTCAATAACTGTTAGGAGTGCCTTAAAAGGTTCCCTGTTCGTGGGAATTCATCAAAATATGGGAGTCTATGCCTAAAAATTTCATATTCGTGCGTCATTATTAGTTATAACATATAACATAGTTGTTATTAAAATATTGTTGCATGACGTGAAAAATCGTCATTTAGATTTTACGTTTTATGGACTTCATTTAAATTACTAGAGCCATAACAATATTTGAATTTAATATTTACGGATTTACAATGAAAGAATAGTTTTGATTCACCCCTTCTTTTCGTTATGTTTCGAAGTATAAACAAAATTCTATGTAAACCAATAAAGATCGGCAGACTGAAGCTTGAACCTCGTAGGCCCTGCTCGTTCTATAAATTTCGATTGTGAAATTAAGAGGGTGTATGATGACTGGGAATATTGGCCGGAAGGATGTTTCTGGCTCACACTCTTACCGAAGGCGGCGTGATACTGATCCTGGTCTGTCTTTACAGCTGCTGGCGAAAATGGTTTCGACCACGGGAGCTGAGAGCCCGCACCGTAAATCTGGGACGGGTCAACACGGAGAAGTTCCCACCGAACGAGATCCGGAACCAGAAGTACAACTTCATCACCTTCCTGCCGCTGGTGCTGTTCGAGCAGTTTCGCTTCTTCCTCAACCTGTACTTCCTGCTGATGGCGCTGTCGCAGTTCATTCCGGACATCCGGATCGGCTACCCCTACACCTACTGGGGACCGCTGGGCTTCGTCCTGATGGTCACCATTTGCCGAGAGGCGGTCGACGATCTGCGCCGCCATCAGCGGGATCACGAGGTCAACTCGCAGAAGTACAAGCGACTATCGGCCACCAACGGCAGCGGCTACGAGATGGTACCCAGCTCCAAGCTGAAGGTCGGTGACGTTATAATTGTGGAAAAGAACGAACGCGTGCCAGCGGATCTGATCCTGCTGCGCACTAGCGATCGCAGCGGATCGGTCTTCGTTCGTACGGACCAACTGGATGGCGAGACGGACTGGAAACC